CTCTGTCTGTCTGTCTGTCTCTCTCTCTCTATATATACACATACACATATATATATATATATATAGAGAGAGAGAGAGAGAGAGAGAGAGAGATAAAATATATATATATATATATGTATCAATCAAAAAGATAAACAATTGTACTGCAGTATTTCCAACATTGATAACCCGAAAACCATGGATATGTCGAACTGAGTTTGAAGTCCCTACCACCTTTTCTTTAGATATTTTAACCTCAACATCCTCGAAATCCTGTGATGTCTCTAAGTTTCTTTGCTTGGTTCCATCGAGTTTGAGTTTTAAACAAAGTTTGACTGTATACAACTTTTGGTTGATTGAATATATTAATTCAATTTATAAATTAAGACAAAGGGATGGGCACAACTTTTAACATCTTATTAATCCCTCTCTCCAATGATGTTTGGTAAAGATCAAAAACAGACATTATAGTTAAGTGCTTCAAAAATTATAACTTTTTGATGATGGACTTTGAATCTTTCCATTACTTTCAGTACTTTGATTAGTGCATGCAGAATGATTTCATAACACGCATAGTAGTGAGAAAATTGAACTGTCTAGTGTATGTCATTGCACCTATTTTCAGGGTAGACAACTCTGTCTGTGTCCCTAATTGATTTCTTTTTCGGCTCTGGAAAAGCAAATACAGCAGACTAGTGTTTTGTTCACTTAGCTCCACTGAATAGCAATTATCGATTTCCAAAGATTGGTGTATTCTTTATGCTCTTTAGAATTTTTTTTTAAAAACATCTCAACATTTTCCCAAGATTTAACATTTCTTTTAAACACAACCTTGACTGTAATGATATATATGGCTATGACTTGGCTGTGTGTTAAAAGGGTGATTTTATGCTTGAATATATCAATGCAGACATGATATTAAAAAAAAAATTCTTGCGGGGCTGTAATTTAATTTCATGCTTTCTGTTCAAAAAGAGCACATTTGACCAAAATTTTACTGTATTTGTCCTGGTATAGTAAAAATGTACCTCAGTCAAAAGCAATTAAATTTCTGTAACCAGTGAATAAATTCCACTGACAACATGGACAATGGTATATCATTTTGGATATTGAAAACTGTCTTAAATATTAGGAGAATATGTTTCTTTTGCATTTTTAATTTTTGACAAGAAGTTGTACATTATGTCTAGTACATGGTCAAATAAAAAAACCCAGAAGTGTCTGATGAGCTCTACTGGTTTTTACTTAATTAACAAATGTATAGAAAGGTAGAACTTAGACTTGAAACTATGGCAACAGCAGAAAATAAAACATAGGTAATCAAAGATTAAAAAGCTCACCTCGACAAATGTTATTTATAAGTAAGGCAAATCTCGCATCATATTTTTTTTCTAGTTAGTGTATATCCCAAGATCAATATCCATGCAAGTTTGGTTTAAGTAGGACTTATAGTTACTTGTAAATAGACCTGGTCAAAAAACTTTTAACCTGTTTACTAATCAAGAAAATTTTGGTCAGTTCCAACATCCACAGCAAGTCTGGAAGTTTTCACCCTTAGATGCACATCTATGCAAGTTTAATAACAGATATATATCATAAGCTCATCTTGACTTCGTCAAGGTGAGCTAATAAAATATGATCCTTGGTTTAATCGAGTCAATTTTAATTGCAATTGGGCAAAAACTATTAACAGTAGGAGTAGCATTTTGAAAAAATTTCACTTTTCAATTTCACTTTACAACTTCACAATTTTAATTTTTAGTAAACATGGCAACACCGTTGATTAAAATAAAAAAAAACAACTGATAAAATGAATTATGTATCTTAGTGTAATCTACTTTTTACCAATTAAGTTATATAGAAATCAGACTGAAATCATGGGAGGAGTAGCATTTTGAAAGAATTTCACAGAAATTTCTATTTTTAGTGACAAAGGCAACACTGTTCATTGAAATCAAAAACAGATAGACAGAATTATGTTATTAAGTGTAGTCTACTTATGTACCAAGTTAATACATGTATACTGAAATTGGACCAAAATGCAGGAGGAGTAGCATTTTGAAAATTGTTTGCAGACAAACAGACAGCTAGACAGCTAGACTGACAGAAGACGGACACCTTACTAATCACTTAAGCTCTTCTGGTCTCTGACCAGTAGAGCTAAAAATAACCCATCCACCAATAATTTTAATTTTTTTTATGTATCAAAATAAAAAATATATATTTCTAATGCAGATATGTGTTTTCACTAATTCAAATAAATATATGTAAAATTAATAATCTACATAAAAATATAATTTAATAAATTTGATAAATATATAATTCTATACATTGCTGAAAATTGGTATGCATGTCCTTTATATCAGCTGATTATTTCGTGAAATGTTTCCTCCAATATCTGTGTTTTATAGATAAATGATGACAATGACCTCTTTGCACTAAGCTAGTTAAACAGCTGTTGAAATGTACACACAGTCATTTACTGAGGAGTAACTTATTATCAGAATAACATCACAAATGCAGAATTAAAGATAATATCATATTAAGTATTTCTTTAAGTACATGTACTTCTATCTGAGTGACTCAGTGGTGTCTTCATTCAATAACTCTAATTTGTAGGTTGATTACACTGGCAGAATGTTTAAATCTATTTCATGATTTAAACATAAATATCTTTTTTTTTCACCTATACATTTTATTTTAAAATTTATATTATTAAGATATATCTGATACTTTCCAGAGAAATTTGTGTGTGTGTGTGTTACATCTCTTCAAGTGAATAATTTAATAAAATTAATTTAAAAGTTAATTATCATTAACAAATATTTAAGATAAAAGCATGCAGAGAGTTTGGGGAATCAGACAGTTTTACCTAGAAATATATTTCTTTCCATGCTGATATTAATATAATTTTTATTGAATTTTTTCACATAAAATTAAAATTCATTGCTGTTGTAATAATTAAAGCATTTAATATTAACCCAAGGCTAAATCGATACCTTATCATTATTACGTTTATGATTGTATAATTTATGTTCATGTTATGCGCATATATATTCTAAATTTTATTTATATACAAGTATGTACATGTATTATATTGGTTCATTGGGCTAGGTGTTTTTATAATTAATCACATCAGTATAATAAATGATTTACATGCACTTAACTTACTAAATGATTAATTTTTAAATAATTTTTGTTCTTGTTTTTATTTTTTTTAATTTTTAAATACATGTATTTTATTTCTTGTTATTTTAAGTGCTTTTAATCAGAATTCTTTGATATTTGTCATGAAAATTTGAAGTTGCCACTAAAAGTTGTTATAATATATAAATTATTAATTCACTTCTTAATCCAGCTGGATCCAAAATATCTAATAAAACCCCAGATATCAGAGACTTGCATTATCAGCCTGAGCAACACTACATCTTGTGAGCATGGCTGTGATGCACCATCCAGTGTTAATTTCCAGTTCATTTTTGCAAATCTCTTCTGATTCTTAATGTCAAAGAAAAAAGGGCTTTCTTAATTATTTAAATTGTAAGTGTTTTCAGGACTCAAGATCTTGGTTGTAAAGAAAATATTCTCTTTTCTCTTAATTAAGAAGGACACATTAAAGTAATGTGCAACTTATTTCATGCTAAAAAATTGAAATAGTTAAGAAATACAGTAACTTCCTTGATTAGGTTCATGTTCACTGTTTGATTAGTAAAATTCTCTGATATTGTTACATAGTGCTTATAAATTACACAGATTCTTAAAGAAAAAATAATCAATCAAAAAAGGTCTCCTGTCATGAATATGTAATAGTGACTTTATGTTGAAATTGTCTGCAGTATCAAGATTTAAATGAATTTATCAATTAATTATACAAATTTTACACTAAGGTAATGATGCTCCAGTTTCAAGCATAGGTCCTGATATGTGTAAAAAAAAAAATATTACTATGACATTTTGTAAAAATGTATAATATTATTTGTAAATTACATCTCATTAAAAAACAACGAATACTTCAAGTTCTTGAACACATTATTTCCGAAGTATCTGATTACCACTACAAATACATACATATATATTATATCTACATTTCACTTTTTTCAAGTTATGGTTTCACTTGACAACTACGGCATGGTAAAGAAAATGAGCGAGCGGTTATGGTTCTGAACAACTGAAAAAAAGAGGCCATAGAACTTACCTCCGTGTTCTCCGGTCTACTTTTCATATGACAAGGCAACAGAACACGGCAATATCTCGCATCGTCAATAACGTGACCCATTTCCCCTTCTTTTCCATATATAAATAAAGCGGGCTTTTTAAAAAGATTGAATAATAAATACTGTACACATGATGCAACGATTTTACCAGTTCAAACAGACAATTACTAGATTTAAATATATTTGACCAGGGCTACATTCAACCCATTTAAAAAACGTGTTTTACCCACATTTGTTGAGTCAGTGACTCATTAATCTTTTGACGTTGTATATAAGATATTGATGTTATACTAGTGTTTTTATTTCGTTTTGTTTCAGACTGGGAAATGAACATGAACATCAATTTTCGAAAAATGAAATATCAGATATCCCCACGGGCTTACTTTAAAAGAAAGTTCCATGTAAACGTCGCGCGGCGAGCCTGAGGGTTGATTTCACCTAAATTGCAACAGAGTTGGTTCTCTCTGAGAAATATTTTAATCGATATCACTTGTCTACATACTAGAAAGTTGATAAAATGAAAGCGACAAGCAATAAATTTGTTTAGAACATGATTTTGCTATGAAGTTACAAAGTGAAAGTAGCATTCATGCAGACACGAGACTATTCGGGGTTTCCTCGAAAGACAGAAATCCAATTTTCCAATCACAGTTAATCGATTTGAAATTATATCTAGGGCCTAATGATAAACGAAATTTAATATTTCGATTGTAATCAAACACTTGAAACAGTTATATTCATAATCAAAAGAAAGAATATACGTATACAGCATTGTCAAAAAAATTCTACTTTCATTTTCATTTCAACTTTAAACATGCGACCAGATGAACATAAAAAGAAGAAAAATGCACAGTACAAAAAGAAACATGGGATAAAAGAAGAAAGAAAAGGGGAAACTAGCAAAGATAAAAAAGGTTCTTCTGAAGAAATATTGGTGAACACAGTGAAAAGTGATATTAGCGACAGCTCGGTAAGATTTAAAGCTGTTAACATAATTAGGCCCTACATGTACAAAACTTGCGTTTATTAAAATAAATAGAGGATATTCAATGTTTTGTAGATGAATATGGAATTTATTTCACGAGTGGGACAGGATTTTTTGATATTTTCACGAGTGCGAAGCACGAGTGAAAATATCAAAAAATCCTGTCTCATCGACGGGTGGATGATTTAACCTTGTTGTAGATGGAGATTGATCCTAATTTATTTCAGGGGTCTTAAAATCTCAGTTAAACTAGATACACATTCAGGCGATACAGACAGTTTTTCGATGGACTTTGATGTTATGGATTTTTATTTTTTATTGAAATGCGACATAAAAAACGAAGTGAAAGAGATGTGCGGCAGTCGTCAGCGATAAGGATTTAAGATGAGATTAAAAAATACCCCTGAAAAATGGGCTTGAGTTTGCACGAGAAGAGTGGAAAATGAGGGGAGGGGGAGTGCGAATTTCACGTAATGTATGCTGCATCCGCGAACCCATTGGCTTTACTATTTTGAAGAGGACACAAAAAGCAGGGAAAGCAAACAGGTTTTCAGGAATTTATCCAACATAGGATGTTTTCCATAATTGCGAATTTTCCTTTTCGTTTGGATCGAAATAACATGTAGATTCTGTGTGGAATAATTTTTTAAAAGTGATTGAGAAATTTTGACATTTTACATTCCTAAGGAAATACTTCTTCAAAATTTATAAAAGGAAAAAAAATCAGCATTTACTATTTGTACGTGCTTTTGATAAATTGAATCAGATTTATTTTTAGACCGTGCTGTATTTTAGATACAGAACAGTTGGCTAATACAAGACAGTTATACAGGGCTAATACAGAATGGAAAGTAGCTCCGCCCACTGTTGTCTCATTCTGTATTGCTAATACAGAACAGCAAACTTCAAAGAAAAACACCGCTATCGTGTCACAATTATATTATATTAATATTATTATTATTGTTGATTTATCACGATATATTGTGATACATATTTATCTCAAATATAGTGATCCATTAATATTTAATATGATATCGTGATACAATTTTCACTTATAATACACAACTGTTTCCGTACTAATTGCTTGCTCCTAGTTTTGAGAGCTATTCTCAAATGTCTGACATTTTGATTAACAAGGGAATCTAAAATCTAAATCCTCTTCTTGATCAAAGCTATTAATTAAGCTAAAAGCAATGATGGCAAATTTCAAATAAAGTATATAATGATTGTTGTATATTGATTGGCTAATTTTATAGTCTTGTTGAGAAAGGTTATTTCATTAAACAGTTGACAAATTTTGGAACCCTTAAATGGCTTTTGTGGCATCACCCTTACCTTGGGGGAACAATTTAAAGTTGCAAACCAATTAACCTTAGCATTAATTCCTGTTGCTTGATTTATCATTCTACATTTAAACCACAAAATGAGTTTACGGGCAAATAAACTACACGAAGGCAATTCTGACCAAAACTTATCTATATCCTTAAGTTTCCTCTCTTGAACTGTTAGTAGTCCCATACCAGTGAAACTGGAGGGGGTAACAGGATTCCTCCTCGTCTGTCTGTCAGTCTGTCCCACATGGTTTTCCAATTACTTTTTCACTACACACAGATATTTAGCTCATTTTTGATGTAAGTCTTGATGAGTTACAGAGTTTGCATTTTATTTTGTTTTGATTAATTTTGACAAGAATTACAGGCTTTAAATTTTAAAGGGAACCAGATTACACTTAAGAGACTAGTATTGTTTATGCAAAACTCTATGAATGCTTGTTAAACAAGGTGCAAAAAAGGTATTTTAAAGATGCTATTTCTGTTCCAAAGTATTAAAACCAACTTCTCCTGAACTTTTAGATATTCTGGTATGGTAGATATCATTAAGTAGTAATTGAAAGGGAAAAAAATTGTATTTTAATGAAAATTGAAACAATTAAGATTGGTTATGTATCGTCAGTCCTGAAATAAAGTGCTAACTGATGGAGTTGTCACTAAGAAATGAGACATAAATGAGCTTTCATGATAAGTATAGAGTTTTCTGAAATACAATCTACAATTTTAGGATAGCAGCCATAACTCAAATGTAGCCAGATTTTCTCGACGGATAGTGAAAAGTAACTGGGAAAAATATGAATTACCCCCTGAGGAAGATCCTTACATCGGACCTACGCAAAAAGGAGAAAGCTTTGAAAAACTTTTGAGATCTGAAGGTAATTAGACTCATATTTGCAGCAGGTAGATCATTATTGACTGTTTATTCCAGAATACTTGAGAGTAAACCAACAGGAGAATAATCAAGAAAAGGTTTTCTGCCTGTTAGTTGTTAATAAAAAATGTCACAGAAACTGAAGCAGTACTTTTTTCTGTGTGGTATTAATTTACGCTATGTGTGGAGTCAAAATTTTCCGCAGAAATTTGTCCTAGCATACTTAAAGTACATTTAAGGCATACAGTGGATCTAAGAAGTCCATGTAATTTTCTATCTGTGGATTAAATAGATATTGTGATTCCATGGAATTGTGATCCTATGGAAAAATGTATGTTTACAGTTATTTATTACATTTTCAACACTGAAATACTGTAATTTATTTACTGAATAAAAGTGATAATCTGACACAGTATGAAAGGATATCAAAATGGTATTCTCACAGTGTGAGAATATCAAAAGTGTGGCAAAACTCTCGATTTTCCTTCCCACCACGAAGAGTGTTAAAAAAAACACTGTTATTAGATTGAGGAAGTAAAAGAACCATTCTGACAGAGACTAAAACTGCCAAAGTTTCTCCAAATATGTTGTTAAAAATCCATGTTTACGATGTTTTTTCAATCTCGCAATTGCTTAGCTATGGTGTCTCAACGCTCAACTATGACGTCACAGCCTATGACACCCTGTTACGTAAAAACAGAGTCAAAGGGAAAATCAAAGAAAATGTAATAAACAGAAAATTCAATGTTTTGTAGATGAATATGGAATTTATTTCATTCGTGAGACAGGATTTTTTTATATTTTCACGAGTGCAAAGCACTCGTGAAAATGTAAAAAAAATCATGTCCCACTCGTGAAATAAATTCCATATTCATCTACAAAACATTGAATATCCTCTATTTATATGCGGTTTGTATTATCCATTGGCAAATACACGTCCAGTCAAATCTCAGTAATCCAGAGACATTTATCTGGACTCTTCACCTTCCAGATGAAAAAGAAGATACATTTACATCTGCCAGTTATCAAAAGAACTTTTCAGTAATTTGGATAAATTAGGCTGTACTGTTGTTGCTTTAAATGAGAAGTTTGGGGGAAAAAATGGTTGATTTTTGTCTCCACAGGGGCATCAGCTGCTCAGTTCCGATTTAAGGATGAGGCATTCTGGGAGGAGGAGGCTGCGGGTCCACACTACGATCAGATGTCTATAGATCTCATGACTCTGGCTGACAGTCTGCAGTCTCTACCCCTGTATCAAAAGCTGGGTATCAGCAAAGAACATTTTACAGTAAGGACATTAAAATATCCACTTTAATATATTCAATAAGGTTAACCAACCTGCAGATCTGTAGCTCACTGGTCTGGAAAAAAATTATCTGTGGTTGTCCATACCAATTTTTATCAGAGCAATGAGCTAGAGATCCTTAGCTCAAGGTTATAACCATGAAACAACTGATGGGAGTAAGTGAACATAGATTTGGACCTGCTCATTAGGATGCTGATTGAGTCACTGTTGTTTTGCAACTCATGGTTCTATAATTCAGTTGAACTGAGTGATGAGTAATACTGTGCATCATGAAAATCTATACATATAGTCTTTAATTGTGTTAGTTATACAGCATAACTGGGAAATAATAATCATATTTAAAATTCTTTTTCCATTTAGTTCTTTAAATGTTAATTGCAAAATATTGCAGTTTGGGGAAAGAGTGTGGAAGTTATATATTATAAGTGGGTTTCCAAGAATTTTTAGAGTTTTGTACACCTTAATATTGGTTTGATGTGTCCATACCAAAATTTTTTCTATATGAGGCATCCATGCCCACCTAAATTGGGTTTGGATACCCCAAGCTTAAAAAGAACAAACATATTCAGAAGAAAAATAAATGAACTTCTATTTTGTTTATGGCAATTTGAACTTCATAGTTAATTTCCATATCTCTCCAAAATTGAATTCAGTAATTTTTGCAGAAGGAACAACTACAAGTAATGGAGACCCAGTCAATGCAAAACTCGTTTGTAAAAGACAATATTCCTAAAGAAAATAACCAACACTGTCCACCTCAAAGAAACCTCACTAATGACACAAAAGAGAACCCCAATTCTCAAAAGGACTTGTGCAAAAATGGCAAGACTCAACCAAAAACTGACTTTGCTTGTGTGGAAACTGACCGAGGGAATTCTATTGTTCAAAATTCAGAAACAGAAATGAAATACAAACCTTCCACTATTGAGGACCAGGAACTTGATGCACTGTTGTCCATGGAAACAACTGAAAAAACACAAAATCCAAAGAATGTACACACTACAGGTGACACAGGTAATGTATTTGGATGTTTTGTAACTTTCTCAGATTTAATTAGTTTGATTTAATCTTGTAATGAATGTACTCCTTCTTTTTCCTATCAGCTGATGATCTGGAGGACTGGCTAGACAGTATTTTAGATTAAGAGGAGAAATTTCAGTGTTGAAATTCTACACAGCTTTAAGTTGTCATCAGGTGTGCAAGCTCCATAATGCACTAATTAAAGATATTTAATTAAAAGTGTTAACTTGTAATGTTATTGCAATTTTAAAAATGTTGTACAATATAGCAACATCTCCCTTGTCTGAGTGGTCAGGGGATTTGATTTGTAAATTTAGTGACCATTTTCTGTATACTTTCCTGTATTTCAAGTTTGTGAGTTTCTTTTATCTGAAATACCATGATGAAAAAATCTGTGCTTTCATGTTTCTTATCTATGGGATACAATATTAAAAATGACTTGCAAATTTCATATTCATCCATTTTATGCCCCCTCCATTGATGACCACAGCGCTGATTGTGATAAATTCCATTCTGACATTTTAGCAACTTTCAGACTACATCACTTGTCAGGTTTATCTTAAATTTATGTGTAAATGAAGGTAATGTTTGAGGTTTGGAGACAATTTTTTTTTTCAATTTAGGTTTATAATGTATGTAGTCTTTTTCTTGAAGAAATCTAAATTTTAATTGAAATGCGAACAATTTTAGCAATTAATAATTACATGTATAGTCATTAATGAAAGTTATCTTTCTTATCAGAGGGTTGTTGAACCTTAAAACTCTTTATTTTCTTGAGGCAAAATCTGACACACTACATCAAAATGTATTTAATAAGAAAAATATTCTTTGACTTGATTAATTTTTATGTATAGTATAACAGCTTTTGAATATAATTTTTTTCATTAATTAGCTGGATCTGTGTGTCATACCATCTGCTTTGAGCACTGGCGGATTTAAGGGGGGGCGTGGGGGCGCACGCCCCCCCTAAAATTTTCAAAGTATGATATGACTAATATCAATAATGCCATACTTTGGTATATAACAAACCAATACCGCTATTTTTGTGCCTGGTTTTACTCTTAAAATACACGAAAACCCAGGAGCTTCTGGGGGCTTCGCCCCCTGGGCCCCCTCTATTCAAAGTATGATATGACTAGTATTAATAATGCCAAACTTTGGTACATATAAACTAACCAATACCCCTATTATTGTGCCTGGTTTTACTCTTAAAATACACGAAAACCCAGGAGCTTCCGGGGGCTTCGCCCACTGGGCCCCTACCGGGGCTTCGCCCTGGACCCACTGGGGGCCTTAAGGCGGCCCCCAGACCCCCTGCCTGAACAAAGTTATCCACGCCCCCCCTAATCACAAATCCTGTATCCGCCCATGTTGAGGACAGAAATTTGTCTCTTGATATTTGACATCATTTTCCTGCTTTCAGTACCTTGAATTTAAAAAAAAAATGCACGAAATTACTGCCTAAAATTAATCATGAAATTTGAATTATGCCATAATTGAATCATTAAATAACAGATAAGTGAATAAATCAATACTTAATGACACTTTGTATAGTCCTTTGGCGAACTATCATAAAATATTTCATTAAATGTTGTGAATCTGACTTTGTAGCATCTGAGATTCTGAGTCCACTCATGGACTTTGGACCCCACGTCCACCAATGACTTAGGACCCTTGACATTATGAGGATGAATTTGTATTACTAGTAATGTTGTAATATCACAAGTTTTTGTGATTCTTTAATCATTTATTGTGAATCAACGTTGAATTGTAGAACTGAACACAGAAAAATAAATTAATATCTAAGCAATTGTATTTGTTATCTTATTAAAAAATCACATTTTATGCATTAAAGTAACCTTGTTAGGTTGGAAAGGTGAAATGGGCAAAGAGAGATAACTCCTACCAAAAATAAAATTAAGCAATCTAAACATTGAAGAAAGAGGGTGTACAAAGCAAGGACAGTCCCCCGCTCTGGGACAATATATTTCTCAATTTTCAAAACTCACGGAAAAGTTAAATTTTTCTAAAATAATGTTTTCAGTAATGTCATCTTCAACACATTTAATTCAATTATTCTATTGAATGACTTTTTGAATGATAATTTGTTTTTAAAATTGACAGTAAAGGGTATTTAATGGAAAATGGGTTTATTAGAGCCATAAAAAATGATTTTTGAATATGGATGGGTCAAGTTTCTATTATTCATTAACATTTAAATGATGGAAAAATAAATGAACAAGATGTGTTTGTGAAACACTGATGAATAGATATGGAAAAGGTTAAAGTTCTTCAAAAGTAAGTCAAACATCAAGGTCAAGTGGTCAAAATTAATGGTGCCCAAGGAAAGGCCTTCTTACAAGAAATACACTTGTGAAATATGAAAGGTTAAAGTTTTTCAAAAGGAGGTCAAACCCCAAGGTCAAGGTCAATGCATTACAATTGTTGGTATCCAAAGGAAGGTCTTGTCACAAGGAATGGGCATGTTAAATTTGAAAGCCCTAGCACCATCTGTTCAAAAGTAATGGCCAAGGTTAAAGTTTTCCAAAAGTAGGTCAAACTCCAATTTCAAAGGGTCAAAGTTGTTGGTATCCAAAGGAAGGTCTTGTCACAACCACTACGTAAGTAAAGTATGAAAGCTCTAGCACCAACCGTTCAAAAGTTAAGGCCAGTGTTAAAGTTTTTGCAAAACTGGGTCAAACTCCAAGGTCAAAGGGTCAAAGTTGTTGGTATTCAAAGGAAGGCCTTATCACAAGGAATAGACATGTTAAATTTGAAAGCCTTAGCACCAACTGTTCAAAAGTTACCGCCAATGTTAAAGTTTTTGCAAAACTGGGTCAAACTCCAAGGTCAAGGTCAAAGGGTCAAAATTGTTGGTATCCAAAGGAAGGTCTTGTCAGAAGGATTACATATGTAAAGTATGAAAGCCCTAGCACCAACCGTTCAAAAGTTATGGCCAAGGTCAATGTTCGGTAAAATTTTGCAAAACTGGGTCAAACTCCAAGGTCAAGGTCAAATATGATGGTACCCAAAGAAAGGTCTTGTCACAAGGAATACACATATGAAATATGAAAGCCATAGCTTCAACCAATCAAAAGTTATGGGCAATGTTAAAGTTTTTGCGGACAAACTGACAGACATAGTCGCAAACCACGGCTAAATTATACGATCCTCTCCCATCCTGTAGGAAAGAGCTATATGCGGACTCCGGACCGTGGCTTGAGACGATGACAGACAGACGGACAGGGCAAAAACTATATACCCCCGAATCTTCGATACGGGGCATAAAAATCTATTTCATGTTATTTGTCAATAATTGATTCAACAAAATGTAGGAAGCAAATGTGTAAAAGATTATATTGACAATATAATTTTTGAAAAAAATATAATTTTTCTTGAACGTTTATATTTGAAAAATGTCTTTTCTCAGAGCGGGGGATCGTCCGCGCCTTGCACGCCTTGATTCTTTTTTCGTTTTTATTTTTCAAACAAAATCTTTTTAATTCTAGTGAATGAGAAAGTCTATCAGGATCCTTGGTTTGTAAAGATGTCAATCTGTATCCAATTCATAGTAAGCAATGAGCATCAAAGTCCCCCAACTGTATATCCAATGTTAATGAACATTTAGCAGCGATATAAATGCTAAAGTCCAGCTCCCCATCTAGATCTACATATTCAAAACAGTAAATACTGACATCATGGCAATGAACATAGAAATTATTCTATCATGATCTGTATCCAGTAAGGTTAATAGACACATAACAGTAATCAGCACCAAGCATGGCCATAGGAACCGGGGGGGGGGATACTATATGCGCGTGCTCCCTCAGTAAAAACGTCTAATGCCCCCCCCCTTTTTTTTTGCTTGTCAAGGAATTTTTGGAAGTTGATAGTGCTCCCTCAACTGAAAATGTATGGCTGTGCCCCCCCCCCCCCCAACTGAAATTGCTTCCTACGGGCCTGCCAAGTAAACGGGTAAAGGACTTTTAAATGTAGAAGTGGGAGTTATTTAACTACACTTAATATCTTTTAATGTATCTTAATAAAAATAAATTTATGGGGAAAATTCTTTCTTTAAAGGGGTCCATAGTAATTTTAACAATAGAACAATCTTTAATGGGTTTCCGTCAGCTATTTATTTGATACTTGACGGAGGCGAGCATTGTAGTCTGTGGGCCTCTTGTTTACAATGCACCGGAAGTTGCACGTGAAGAAGCAGTCGAAGGCTGACGAAGAATCAGAGGTATATTTTGTCCAAAAAAACACAAGTAAGCTTTAGAAAACAGCTTTGATCCATAGGCACTCCCCAGCTTAATTGTTAAAAAATATATATCTACTATACTATAGGTATGTTTATAGTATAGTAGATATATATTTTTTAACAATTAAGCTGGGGAGTGCCTATGGTTACTTTTTTCTCCTACGTTTGAGCTAGTATCTTTTTACTTGGGACTAGTGATTTTATTGCTGCCTATAGTCCGTGGGCTAGTGCTTGATTGTTTAAATTGCATACCCCTAAAAAAGAAAAAAAACAAGGTGTGTTTGTGAAACACTGATGCCCCCGTACCCATTCAGATTTTGAAGCTTACGCTAATTTCGTCATGTGCAAAACCTCTTTCATAAAACGACCTGAATGCTCTCAAGGTGTATATTAGTTTTGTATGAAATTATTCAAATAATTTCTATGTTAATTACTTTGAGAAGAAAAAATGCTAGTGAAAGGCCAATATTGCTTAAGTAAAAAAAAGGGAAGGTATAATGTCCTGATAGTATAATGCCCTGATTGACCTGATCACATTTAATTCTAAAATATGAAGTAGTAAAGTGCCAAAACAAGTTTCTTTTAACTGATTAAAATTAGGATACTAAATGTCAATAAGATTCATGAAAGAAAAAATTAAAAAATATATTTTTTATTTTGTTTATTTGACAGATAAAATTGACAGGGGTATAACGCCCTGATTTTGGGGTATAATGACCTGATGACATGATAATATGAAAACCTATAAAAAAAGCAAGTTTTCATTATATTTGTTTCACTTTTCAGTCTGATTTATTTTCATTAGGATAAATAAAAGTTTTACAAAAAAGATTTTGGGAAAATATCTATTTTCTATTGCTCAAAAGCCGCTCTGGAAGTTAGCAGGGGTATAATGTCCTGATTTTTGAATGCCCTGATTTTCAATAATGACCTGATTTAAATACTTATGTATATACTCATTCATTGAAACTAATGAAAATGTGAATAATTCCTTTATACTTTGATTTTCATTCTAATTTAATTCTTTTATTTTTTTAAATTCTGTATATTAACATTTTTTAAGTTTATACAATATGCATAATATACATGCATTTTATTGTAGAATTCTTAGCCATTCATTTTATTATATTGTGCTATATGATTTATCAAAACAATCCAAAATCTTAGTAGTAAACTTTGATAGTTTTAGAGAGATTGATTAGAAATGTTTTTAAATGAACAAAATATTGATACACAGGCTGTGGTAGCCAAAACATTTAAAAAAAAAAAGTCTAAAAATAATGCAGATATTTTAAATATGGCCTGAGGTAACTTAACATTTTAAAACTGTGGGAAAAGATATAATTTATAATTTTTTTTGTTTATTTTCATTTGTTTTTTGTTTTAAAAGTTACGAGCACTTATGTGATGATGGAAAATTTACTAAGTAAAAATATATATCTTCAGTTTTTTTGATCAGATGTGATTCTATTAAAAATGTAAAATGAATGAAGTCTCTTGTGGAAATGATTTTAAGTAAGGATTAAAAAAAATGAACATGTATATATATATATATATATATGCCAATATTTAACTTTAATTCTTACTGCAAGGTACAGACAGTACAACAAAATAAATGGATCAATTGAAAAACAAACAAACAATATACTGTTTGGATAATCATACACTGCTTGTTTATTATGTCTGATAGTGTCAAAGGGACATAGACCATACGTATCCTGTGTACTATATCCCGTACATGGCTTCTGTAATTATCACCTGTGTAACCCCAGTCAACCATGCTCTGCTGACCGCATATTTCATAAACAAACCTGATAGAATCTAATTTTTCTGATTTAATTATTGCACATTATATAAAAAGACAAAATTATTTATTAATTATATTTATATACATTTGAATTTATATACTTTATATAATGAAGTTTTTAAATCTGTCTTAAAACTATTAGGTGCTAAACAGCCTAATAAACTTTTTGAAAATGTTTCTCTAATTTAAGGCATATTTAAATATTGTTTTAACTTGTTTGTGAAAAAAGGAAAATATTTGAGGTAAATCTGTAAGTGAGCAGGTGTAATCATGCATTTACAAATATCAGTTCTTATTTAAACAATATGACGTTTCCTATGTTGAATGCTATATATATCACATAAAAATTTATTTCTGTAAAATATGTTGTTAAACTATAATCTTATTATTTATGAGAAAATTTCTCAGACACATTAACTTTTGTTTCATTCATGTAAAACAAAGTATAAAAATATATACCGGGTCATTTGAAAGACCCGGCCGTTAAAAAAAGTCAAATTCTTTTACAATATCAGATCCTCAATAATAAACAAGCTACATTGTATCAGGCCAATTCTAAATGACTGCATGTCATATAATATTCAAATTTGTTTTATAGCAGTAAATTTTTTTTAAATATCTCAGGTCACTTAAAATCATCAGATCGACCGAATATAAAGTATGGTAAAACTTTAATTAGTCGAAATATCAGGTCATTTCAAAATAAATTTCTTCTTGGATTGTTGCAAATTTTTATGGGTATTAAATTGCATGCAATTGTTAAGGTTGTGTTATGGGGGGAAATAGAAATAATGTTGTGAAAACATATGAGATCATTTGAAAACATTTTTTTTGAAATATCAGGTTTTTGGATGTGTGGAAAATGAGATCAGGTTATTTTAAAATGCATTTTTTCTTTAATTGTTGCCAATAATGATTTTTAGATATTCAGATATGCTTTATTTATATAAATATGAACTTAAATTGTTTTAAAAGATATTAAACAATCAAGTCAATCCAAAATATCAAGTCATCAGATTAGGTATCTGGTCATTTCAAAATATCAGCTAGGTCATCAATTTTTTTATTATTATAATAAAAATTCTAAGAAATCATATCCTCTAAAAGCTAAAAGTTTACATGTATGTAAGTACTAGTATAGAATCATCAAAATTAATATACATTATCAATAATTCCCCAAATAAAATATACTGCTTAAGTTATAATATGTGATTTTTATCATCATGTTTTTAAAGATTGTTCTGTATATTTAATTTATTATCATATGCATGCATTGTTTTACTTGATATCAATATGCTTCTTTGTATAGGTCAACATTTTCTCAGAAATATATTGTTTTTAATAATATCTACAGTAAGGTTATATAACTTGAGCTTTTCATTGAAGCAAGTAATTCAATCATGCATTCGCACACATTTACACGTAAATCAGGTCAATCAGGGCATTCATAAATCAGGACATTATACCCTTTGTAAACTTCAGAAGTGATTTTGAACAAAATATGATAGATATTTTCTCCCACACTTAATTAAACTACTTTCATATATAATCCTTAAAAAATATTTAATCAAATTGTAATATGAAAATTATGCTGAATTGGGTTTATTAGCAGTTTTTATACAATCAGGTCATCAGGTCATTATACCCCAAAATCAGGACATTATACCCCTGTCAATTTTCTCTATCAAATAAAACATAATAAAAGTACTTTTATTTTGCATTTTCTTCATGATTCTTATAGAAAATGATAATATTCATCGTTTCCAATAAAAATAATATTGTTTATGCACATAAAAACTCTTTATTTCATTATTTATATGTAATCAGGTCAATCAGGGCATTATACTATCAGGGCTTTATACCTTCCCTAAAAAAAATTCCACTAGCTAAAATTTGCTAGTGGTCAAAAAAGTTAATTTCGATCCCTGCTTGTGAGACAGAATTTTTGAAAAAAAAATCAATCGAAAATATATTTATAATCTGTCCCACTCGTAAATTCTATATTCAACTACAAAACATTGAATATTCTCTAGGCCTATATATTATACGCCTGTAGGAAGCAAATTCATTTGGGTGGAGGGGAGTTCTACCAACCAAACAAAAAATCCTTGACATTTGGGAGTAAAAAGTCTTCAGACATAGTTATTGAGCTCCCCTTCCATCGGTTCGTACAGGGCCTGTACTTACTATTGTACCAGGAAAGAAGAAAAATGTGATGTACCTGACCACGATTCAATCTCCGGTGGTCTGATTCAGGAGGCCTGGGTTTGAATCCTGGTCTAGTCCATTGCATTTTTTCTCCTTTCTTGTTACATGCTGTGTCTTGCTCTGAAAGTGACAGGTGAAAGACCTGCCAGGGAAGAACATGGGATGGTGTCTTTTGGGGTGAAGACCTTTTATTAAGGAAGGAGGAATGTGGCGGTCAGATGGGTGGAAAGATAGCTCAGTTGGTAGAGCACCTGACTGCATGGAGATTCAGGGGGACCTGGTTCAAATTCTGGTCTGGTCACTGTTCGTCACATTTTTTTCCTTTCCTGTACATTATTATGTATTAACAGTGGGAAAAGTTATATATATGCATGGAAAAAACAATCATGATTTTCTCAGTGAATTTAAATATTTAAATATTTCGTTTCAGATTACAAGATGGACTGGCTTTCTGTAATTTTTATAATCTTTGTGATGGGTGTGATCATTCAGTGTGTGCGATTATTTCTCTCAGACTGTGACTTGGAACTCCAATGGGCAGAGAAGTTTGGATACGCGACAGGTATAAGGAATTATTTTCAAAATATATACGAGGAACAAAAGTGCTTAGCTTGGCTTGTAGATTTTCACTGACAGGCATGGGCTACATGTACATGTACTAAATTTACTATTATGTTTACAAGAATCAAACTTGTTAAGTACAAATCATATTCAAGGGGCATATTATCTATCATTCTATCGAAGAAGGGAGGGCAGATTGTTTTGCTGCTGTCGAGCAATTTTGACAGAGTTATGCCCCTTGGAAAAATTCCAATTATTTGCAGTTTCCGTTCATTTTCTTCGCAGAGGTTGCACATACTGAAGGGGCATATTATCTATCATTCTATCTAAGAAGGGAGGGCATATTGCTTTGCTGCTGTCTGTCAGTTGGTCCACCAACAGTTTCCATTCGTTTTCTTCACAGAGGTTGCACATACTGAAATAAAATTTGGTATACAGATTTATCATAAGAATATTTAGGTGGTCAAGTTCTGTTTTGGGTACAGTCGAGCAATTATTGACAGAGTTATGCCCCTCGGACTTAGAAAAATTCCAATTATTTGCAGTTTCTGTTCATTTTCTTTGCAGAAGTTGCACATACTGAAAAGAAATTAGGTATACAGATTTATCATAAGAATATCTAGGTTAATTTCTGTTTTGGGTACGATTGAGCAATTTTTGACAGAGTTATGCCCCTTGGACTTAGAAAAATTCCAATTATTTGCAGTTTCTGTTCATTTTCTTTGCAGAGGTTGCACATACTGAAATGAAATTTTGTATACAGATTTATCATAAGAATATCTATGTCAAGTTTTGTTTTGGGCACGATCGAGCAATTTTGGACAGAGTTATGCCCCTCGGACTTTGGAAAATTCCAATTATTTGCAGTTTCCGTTCATTTTCTTCCCAGAGGTTGCACATACTGAAATGAAATTTGGTATACAGATTTATCATAAAAATATCTAGGTCAAGTTCTGTTTTGGGTACAATCAACTTTGAATCAAGCAATTTTTGACAGAGTTATGCCCCTTGGACTTAGAAAAATTCCAATTATTGAGTGGTGGGGGAGCAATCAGTGTTTCACAAACATCTCTTGTTAAATTATAATATATCTCCAGTATATGCAACGTACAATAACATTGCAATGAAAGTGAAATAATCCTGTGTCAAAAATGATTGACATTCAGGGGCATACATACTGTTTTTTTCTTTTTTAAGTAAACCTTTTCAGTTACTTTTTTACCCTAGTTATTAAACATCAACAAATGCTCAATGATCTGTGCAGTATTAAAGTATAACTTCATTTGCTGTTTAATCCCAGGAGAGTTGCCTCAGACTTCATACTTTGTCTTTATTACGTAATAATGGATTGGAAGTTGCCTAAGAATTCATACTCCATCTTGATTAAATAATGCACTGGAGCTTCAAAAATGATGAGAAGTTTAGTAAAAGAAAATAGCTTTCCTTGGATTTCTTTTCTTAATACATTGCAGTCCTTTATAGTTATTTCACATACAATCATATTTTTCTGCTAAAAATTAGTTAATCTTTGAATCCAATTAAATTATAATCCAAGAGGAGAACACATTTATGAAATGGCCATGGCTTGCAAGATTTTAAGAAAAATTAGTTTGAATTGGTTATTTTTCGTAAAATAAAAACAAAAATAAATGAATATTGTTATCTTTTTCAATGGTTAAGTGACACAGTCCAATAAACTGAATTTAATTTCAGAATAATAACTGGATTTAGTTATGTCCCTAACTGATTGATTGAATAGTGGATTTTGAATTCTATTGTGATGAATCAGAGACACATTATATTTTCAATAGTGAAATAACGTAATTTTTGGACTATACGTCGATGGGGTGTATAGGTTGAAAGGCTCATTTTTAGCCTTAATTTTTAAAAAATCCTTAGATAGGGCAAATTCGGAACATGGGACGAGGCGTTTTTTATCAATTTTCTAGAAAACCTTACGTAGATACTACATATCAGAACATGTAAATTTCTTGTAAACCGTGATATTATCATATTGAGAAAATAAAGTGATATTTTTATGTACAGTAAAACAATATATAGGTACCGTGATATTATTGTATTGAGAAAATAAAGTGATATTTTTATTACAGTAAAACAATATGTACGTACTAGAATTTTTTTATTGAATAAAAGTGATGTTTTGTCATGCAAGTGTGAAAGGATATCAAAGTGATATTCTGTCACAGTGTGAGAAAATATCAGAAATGTGGCAAAACTCTTGATTTTCCTCCCCCTCACAAAGAATGTTGTAAAATAATATGCCCTGACCTGTTATAAGATAGTGAGAGTCAGTAAACCATCCTGCCAGAAACTAAAACTGCCAAAGTTTCTCCAAATATGTTGGATATCCATGTTTACAATGTATTCAATCTCACAATTACTAAGCTATGACGTTTCAACCGCTCAACTATGATGTCACAGCCTATGCCTGTGTTACGAAAAGATGGAGACAAAGGGAAAAACAAAGAAATTGTAATAAACAGAAAATTCAATGTTTTGTAGTTGGATATGGAATTTATTTCACTCTTGAGACAGGATTTTTGATATTTTCACTCATGCTTCACATTCTTGAAAATATGAAAAAAATCCTGTCCCACTCGTGAAATAAATTTCAAATCCAGTTATTAAACATTGAATACCTCAATAAATATACCACTGATATAAATTCTCATTTAATTTTTTTTTTTATAATTCTTAAGGTACATTGAAAGATAAAGTAGTTTGGATTACTGGAGCCTCTAGTGGTATAGGGGAATCTCTGGCTTACAAACTAGCTACTGATGGCTGCACTCTGGTGCTGTCTGCCAGGAGAGAAGAAAGGTTACAGCAAGTCAAGCAGAACATCGTAGGTAATTAAAACAGGTCAAGCAGAACATCATAGGTAACTGAAACAAGTCATGCAGAACATTGTAGGTACATGTAACTTAAACAGGTCAATCAGAACATCATAGGTAACTAAAACAGATCAATCAGAACATCATAGGTACATGTAACTTAAACAGGTCAAGCAGAACATCATAGGTAACTTAAACAGGTCAAGCAGAACATTGTAGGTAACTAAAACAAGTCACACAAAACATCATAGGTAACTATAACAAGTCATAGGTACTATACAGCAAGTCAAACAGAACATCAAAGGTTATTAAAGCAAATAAAACTGAACATCAAAAGTAACTAAAACAAGTCAAACAGAACACCTAAGGCTACTAAAGCATGTCAAAAAGAACATCAAAGGTAACTAAAACAAATCATACATGTAGGTACTACAGCAAGTCAAACAGAACTTCAAAGGTATCAAAAACAAGTCAAACAGAACATCATAAATAACTAAAACAAGTCAAACAGAACATCATAGGTAACTAAAACAAGTCAAACAGAACATCATAAGAAACTAAAACAAGTCACACAGAACATCATAAATAACTAAAACAAGTTACACAGAACATCAGAGGTAACTAAAACAAGCCACACAGAACATCAGAGGTAACTATACAAGTTCAAACAAATAATCAGAGGAAACTAAAAAAAATATCAAACAAACATCATAGGTAACTATAACAAGTCAAACAGAACATCATAGGTAACTATAACAAGTCAAACAGAACATTATAGGTAACTATACAAGTTCAAACAAATAATCAGAGGAAACTAAAAAAAATATCAAACAAACATCATAGGTAACTATAACAAGTCACACAGAACATTATAGGTAACTATAACAAGTCACACAGAACATCATAGGTAATTAAAACAAGTCACACAGAACTTCAAAGGTAACTATAACAAGTTACACAGAACATCATAGGTAACTAAAACAAGTCACACAGAACTTCATAGGTAACTACAACAAGTCACACAGAACATCATAGGTAACTAAAACAAGTCACACAGAACATCATAGGTAACTATAACAAGTCACACAGAACATCATAGGTAACTATAACAAGTCACACAGAACTTCATAGGTAACTATAACAAGTCACACAGAACATCATAGGTAACTAAAACAAGTCACACAGAACATCATAGGTAACTAAAAGCAAGTCACACAGAACATCATAGGTAACTAAAACAAGTCACACAGAACATCATAGGTAACTAAAACAAGTCACACAGAACATCATAGGTAACTATAACAAGTTACACAGAACATTATAGGTAACTAAAACAAGTCACACAGAACTTCATAGGTAACTAAAACAAGTCACACAGAACTTCATAGGTAACTAAAAAAAGTCACACAGAACATCATAGATAACTAAAACAAGTCACACAGAACATCATAGGTAATTAAAACAAGCCAAGCAGAACATCATAGGTAACTAAAACAAATCACACAGAATATCATTGGTAACTAAAACAAGTCACACAGAACTTCATAGGTAACTACAACAAGTCACACAGAACATCATAGGTAACTAAAACAAGTCACACAGAACATCATAGGTAATTAAAACAAGCCAAGCAGAACATCATAGGTAACTATAACAAGTCACACAGAACATCATAGGTAATTAAAACAAGTCACACAGAACTTCATAGGTAACTATAACAAGTCACACAGAACATCATAGGTAACTAAAAGCAAGTCACACAGAACATCATAGGTAACTAAAACAAGTCATACAGAACATCATAGGTAACTAAAACAAGTCACACAGAACATCATAGGTAACTTAAAGCAAGTCACACAGAACATCATAGGTAACTAAAACAAGTCACACAGAACATCATAGGAAAGTAAAAAAAATCAAACAGAACATCATAGGTAACTATAACAAGTTACACAGAACATTATAGGTAACTATAACAAGTTACACAGAACATTATAGGTAACTATAACAAGTCACACAGAACATCATAGGTAACTATAACAAGTCACACAGAACATCATAGGTAACTAAAACAAGTCACACAGAACATCATAGGTAATTAAAACAAGTCACACAGAACATCATAGGTAACTAAAACAAATCACACAGAATATCATTGGTAACTAAAACATGTCACACAGAATGTCAAAAAAGAGACAAGCAAATTCATTATATTAGAATTTGTAAGTTTTAAAACTTTTTAACCATTATAAACACACCTATGTTATTTTTAGTAACTCAAGTCAATATTGTAAAATATAATTTTGCATGTGTTTATGAAACAACCCAATCAGATTTATTGAATAACACAGTAAAAACAATATTATTATATATCATCAGATTTTTTTTTTGATGTACAGAACGTGGATATTTGAAAAAAGAAAATATACTGATAGTCCCACTGGATTTGCTCGATTTAAAGTCTCATTCAGATGCAGTGGAAACAGTGCTGAAGTACTTTAAAAAGGTAAACATCACTTGATATCAATATCCGATTATGTCTCAAACTTGTCAGCTATATTATGAGTGTCAGTCATAAATATCTGATGGTGAAAGTTAACAGGTCAAAATAGGTTTAGCAATTCAATTGAACTGTTGAATCTAGGGATGTGTGTGTCACAACTCAGAAGTAGGTTGCAGAGACCTAATTTCGGAATTATATAGCTATACATAGTCAAATCTTGTCTGATGTATCTTAAATCTTATTTAGTCATCAAACTTTGTTAGTTGATGCATTTTGGGGTAAAGGTAGGTCACAACCCCAAAATAGGTCATTCTGACTTCACTTTGGAATTTTATGGTTATACATAGTCAAATCATGTCATACTTAAGTAACTTCTTTCCTGATGGGTAAATCATGTGGCCTCTTGGTGCACTTGATTCAATATTTTGTGGTAGATTGACATATTGGTTAACAATGCTGGCCGGTCACAGAGGTCCCTGATTGAGAGATGCCCAATCGAAGTGGACAGACAAGTTTTGGAGATTAATACACTCAGTCCTATATCACTGACAAAAGCTGTCCTTCCACACTTCATGGAGAGAAAAGCTGGACATGTTGTTTTTACAAGTAGCATAGCAGGAAAAATTGGTAAAATTGAATTTCTTTAGTATTGTACTTTTACATGTATTTTGTAATGACAGAAAGAGGAGAACTTGAAAATTGAAATACTCAGGCCTCCTATAAAAATCTATGCATTAAATGATTCTTTGATGATAGTATAGCAAAACTCCAATATACATTGTGTACTGATTTTTAAAATTGAACTATATCAATTTATTTGTTCAACACACAACCCTAAATATGAATCATACATAAGTATTTGACTAATTTATAAAATTGCTTGATACATACAGGGTCACCTGGATTGGGATCATATGCCTGTTCTAAACATGCACTTCAGGTAAAGTAATTTGTCTCGGTAAAATTTCACAACCTCCAATTTCCCATCTCATATGCAGTTTCAGAGTCCATGATCTATCTCATACAGTTTGTTTTGTAGGGTTGGCTGGATGCCCTGAGGACTGAGATGTACCCCTACAATATACACGTGACCTCAGTGTGCCCAGGTCCCGTGTTCTCAGAAGCCCTGATTCATGCATTTACAGATAAAATAGATACAGTAAATATACCTTATACTCTTATCCTAGTGCAATACACTTCAAAAAATTGTTCATTAAATATACTTTATTATACTGTTCATTGAGAATTTATTATTTTTATGCAAAAATTAAAGGTTATATGATCACATTATGAGATTCTTATAATTATTCTTTCTCCTAATTGGAACCTTAGGAATCTATCTTCAAACAAGAGGCCCAAGGGCCTTAACGGTCACCTGAGTACAATACAACAATTTAGAGGATCCATAGAGTATTAAAATGAAATGAAAGGTGAAGCTTTGTTGCCCAAAAGCAAGAAAAATAGGGTGACCAGGATCAACAAAATAATTAGTCTACTATTCATTAACAGTTCATAAATTAGGTTCTAATCTGTTCCCCATTTATCACTATCACCATACAGTATATTACCAAACTATCAGTGCTTTTGTACTATTTTAATTCCTTGTTGTAATCTCTTACATTGGCCTCTCTTGGTCTTTGATGAACATTTAATAAGACAAGTTATTTTTGTCTCATTTTTATTTATCTATTACTTAAAACTCCACATGATCATTAAAACTATGAAAATACTTTTTGTATTATACAATAAAAATTCTTGCATAATTCTCTTATTCTATTAATTTTTCATGAACATTATTTACAATGATTAATTATCAAAAGTAAATGGCAAAGGGGAATAACTCCTCTCAGTAGAATGCAAATTAATTGAGCCCTGGCTAGGACCAGAACACTTGACCAAATGGTCCAGGTGTTCAAAAATCTGGTAAAAATACCCTTCCTTATTACAACTTTTACACTTTTTGCCTCTGATATGCCCAAGTGCAGAGAAGATTTTTAAAGAAATAATGCATTTTCACTACAGATTCACTGTATTATCAATAGAGCCCCTCCCCCCCCCCCCCCCCTCCCCTTCACCACCGAGAAACACCAGAACCTCTCACCCTGGGACCAGAAGTTTCAAGTTTGCTCATCATAAGTAATCACTTTGTTTAACTGCTTAACATTAAGGAGCAGACAGGATCATTTAATAGAATTAATGCATTTTCACTACATTATCAACAGCCCCACCCTTATACCAGCACATCTGACCCAGGGGTCATGCAATTCACTACTCTGGAAGAAGCACTCTTGCTCATCATAACTATATACTTAGCTTCTTTGCTTTTTAACCAGAAGCAGAAAAGAATATTTTCAAAGAAATTTTGATTTTTCACTATATAATCAATAGAGCCCCCCCCCCCTTTTGACCAGGACCCTTGACCCTGGGGCCATGAAATTCACAATTTTAGAAGAGGCATTCTTGCATATCATAACAATGTACTTAGTTTGTTTAAATAGTACCCAGGGGCAGAGAAGAAGATTTTCAAAGAAATAATTCACCTTCACTGTAGGAGCTATATAGCCCCACCCTAGCACAAGAACCCCTGTCCCTGGGGCCATGAATTTCACAATTTTGGAAGAGGTGTCCTTGCTTATCATAATAATGTACTTAGTTTGTTTAAATAATACCCAGAAGCAGAGAAGAAGATTTTTAAAGCATTAATGCATTTTCACTATATAATAAATAGAGCCCCGCCCTAACATCAGAACCCCTGACCCAGGGGCCATGAAATTCACAATTTTAGTAGAGTTACTCTTGCTTATCATAACTATGTATTTAATTTGTTTAAATAATACCCAGGAGTAGAGAAGAAGATTTTCAAAGAAATAATGCACTTTCACTATATGATCTATATACCCCCCCCCCCCCAGCACCAGAACCCCTTACCCTGGGGCTATGAATTTCACAATTTTGGTAGAGTCACTCTTGCTTATCATAACTATGTATTTAATTTGTTTCAACAATACCAAGGAGTAGAGAAGAAGATTTTCAAAGAAATAATGCACTTTCACTATACGATCTATATAGCCCCACCCTAGCACCAGAACCCCTGACCCTGGGGCCATGAATTTCACAATTTTGGTAGAGTCACCCTTGCTTATCATAACTATGTATTCAATTTGTTTTAATAATCCCCAGGAGTAGAGAAGAAGATTTTCAAAGAAATAATGCACTTTCACTATATGATCTATATAGCCCCGCCCTAGCACCAGAACCCCTGACCCTGGGGCCATGAATTTCACAATTTTGGTAGAGGGCTCAATGCTTATTACAATCATGTCAACAGTTTGACTGCTTGATGTCCAGGAGTAAAGAAGAAGATTTTTAAAGATTGCATTAATTTTGATGGTTTTAGCCCCACCCCTCAGGCCCCAGAGGGGCAGGGACCATGAAATTCACAAATTTTGTTCCCCTTCACACATAGATGCCATATGCAAAAATTGGCTGAAATTGGTTCAGCGGTTTCAGAGAAGAAGCTGAAAATGTTCAAATGTTAACACACGACGCACGACGGACGACGACGGACGAAAACAGATAGCAATAGGTCACCTGAGTGACTCAGGTGACCTAAAAAGGTACAAATTTAATTTGATGACACAAAGGACTTTCACTCTGTAAGTATAGTCAGGTTGGGTTGTAACTTATTGACTACTATAGACTCCATATACATGTATATATGGTGGGGGCAGCCTTTTAAGATCCTAATTGTAATCGACACTTGTGTTATTTCCTCCTTTTCCAGTCGCTGGGAGTCACCATGGATCCCCGGGAGAGGAGAATGAGTACCGAGAGGTGTGCCACATTGATGGCCATCGCCATGGCAAACAGGCTAGATGAAGTGTGGATTTCACCTCACCCAGAGCTATTTTATGTGTATCTCTTTCAGTTCCTTCCATCAATAGCCAAAAGGTTAGTAAGATGCAATGCTGATCTCATGTACAGAGGTATTATTCATCATGTAGCCATTATATATCAGCCCAAACTGCCCAGTTACATATACAGTAAAACTTGGTTATGAGGAAGTCACTAGGATTTTGAATTTTACTTCTTTTTTAGCCGAAATTTTCATACAAGGAACATATTGCAAAGTCACTCAGGGGATTGATAAATATTCATTATAACTGAGATTTCCTAATAAGCGAGTTCTTGAGAACCAAGTTTTACTGTATATATAAGTTGTACAGTATCAATTGCAGTGAAAAGTGAATTTTTCCCCATTTAGGTCACCCATCACTGTTAAACTTTTTTTCAGTGTTTTCTGTGAAATGTGAATCGGTTGTAATGAATTTTGACACATAACATCTCCGTGCCAAGGTGAATTTAATTTTCTTTCTTCCTCTGGAACCATATGTTTGGGATCAATACCTCCAAGACCCAAAGTTGTGGAAGTCAATCATATGAAAATGAATGAAATCTTTAAAAGTCATTATGTCCAGACATTTAGCAAATGGACTGCTACATGATTATGTATGTGTTTTTCCCTAAAAAGTTTGTTCAATGGATGAGGGGTTTAAGTCCCAATTTGAGGCTAAGTTGGCCGTAATGAAAAAGTGTTTTAAAATGTTCTTATTCGTGTTTAGAGAAATAAGAGAAAAACTGTATAATTGGTTAAACAAAAGAGTTATGTTAACTGAATTGGAAAATTCATGTCCTTGGGATCCAGGGATGGGGCCAGGAGCAGGCTAACTTGATTATCATTGATGAAAATGCTCAAACTCCTCAAAAATCTTTTAATAGCTTCTAATTTAAGACCTGAAGAACTTATGCATTGGTTATGTGTCTATGGTCTGTATGTTATCAGTTTTTCATTAAATTTTTCTTGCAATATTTTTTGCCCAATTTCAGTATTAACACAAATAAAACTTTATTTACTAGGTAGAAAAAAATTTCGTTAATTTGAATTTTTTTTAATTAAAACTGTGGTGGCTGTGACTTTTAATTATGCCATCTACTCAGTTGGCAAAAATGCAAAAAGATTTAAGTTTGCTGATGGGAATGAAAAACAACCTATTGTATATTTTAGACTTATGATTGTGGTGCCAATTTTTACACACTTATTGTTGCATTTTTTTTTTCAAATGGTAAAATATTAAATTTTGATATTTATATTCAATTATATTTTATATTCAATTATTGTATGATTATTTTTTCAGTTTAGAAGAACAATTTTTTTATTTTTAAGATTTGTACTTTATAGCAAACCATACCCTGAGTAAACATCATCCTTAAGTAAAAAGAATCTGAAATATTTCAAACTACTCTCAAGCTACTTCTGTCTGCTCAATTTGAAGGCAAAAAAAAAAAAAATTAAAAAAAAAAAAATTAAATATCAAAGATGAAAGGCTTGAAGTTCTAGTGCATGACGAGTGTCTCTAAAAATATTGTCACATCAAACTCAGGTGACCATTACAGCCCACTGGCCTCGTGTATGGAGTGTAAATATTGCAGTCTTTTAATTTTAATCTTCAAGTCAAGTAGAATGGTAAAGTGAATATACCTTACAATTATATTTCCATTTGATTGAGCAAAAAGGTTACAAAAAGAACAACTATCTGTTTGATAAACTCTGTCATATTCACAAGCTGGAGACTTTGGGTGTTTGTTTTTAACTTATTTTGTTGTTTTCTTTTTCTTTATAGAATTGCTAAAGTGTTTGGACAGGATAGAGTTAACAAAATAAAAAGTGGCAGTGCCTCTCTACATAAAACACAGTAACCAGATTTTGATAGAAAGTGCATTTTATAATAAATTTAATTTTTTTTTTACTTATGAATTGTGTGGTGTATTTATTCTGCATCATGTCCCTTTAAAAATAAAATTGTTTATATTGTTTCTCAGAAAAAAATAAATTAGGATCTACAGTATGATACATTCATTTATTTGTATATATTTGTTCTTGCTCTTGTTCATTCAATTGACCTATTTTCACACCCATCTTGAGGTCTACTGGCCAGAGACTAGAAGACTTACCAATACTAAGGTAACATGTCAGTCTGACTGTTTGTCAGTATACAGTTGTACCCCTGTTTTCTGATTTCAAGAAAACCCAGTACACAAGATAGCTACATGTATTTACATTATTCTACATATCAATTTTTGATTATGATAAATGACATTGCTATAGTTACTAAAAATAGAATAAGTTGGGAAATTCTTTCAAAATGGTGCTTTTAACACCTTTAGTCCTATCTGAATAAAATGTGGTACAAAGTAATTCACACTAAGAGACATAATTCTGTCTTAGTTTTCTAAAGCCAGAAGAGCTTATGCATTAGTAAGGTGTTTGTCTGTAAATGCTGTTCCTCCAACAATTTTGGTCAAATTTCCATAAGACTTCAATAAGATGCAGGTAGACTCTCCTAAGATACATATTTCTATATATTGGTTTTTGATTTCAATAAATACTGTTGTCATGTTACAAAAATAAAAATTTCTGTGAAATTCTTTCAAAAAGTTACTCCTACAGTTTCAATAAGAAATAGTACACTAGTAGAGAATACAGAATTTTTTATAGGAGTTTTTGATTGTGATGAATGATTTTGCCAAGGTAACTGGAATAAAAAAATATCTGTAAAATTCTTTCAAAAAGTTACTCCTCATACAGTTTTAGTCCAATTTCAATAAGATTTGGTACATACGTAGACTATACTTAGATACATATTTCAATTTATTGGTTTTTGATTTCAAGAAACTATATTTCCATGGTAACTGGTCTGATTTTAATAAGGCTTGGAACACAAGTAAACTAAATCAAGGATCAAAATGCCAGAGCTACGAAGTTTCAAGTTCAGCTGTTGCTTTTTCTCTTTAGTAGAAGCAAAAACCAACAGAGCTACAGTCTCTTCAGAGACTTCTAGTTTATGTCATTGAGTGGTGTTGCCATAGTTACTTAAAATAAAATAATCTATAAATTCTTTCAAAGTGCTTCTTCAGTGATCTCGGTCAGATGTTTATAAACTTTATTAAGATACACAAACCTTCGCATTCGTTAAGGAATCATATTGATATCAATGGTGTGGATATGGTTACGAAAATGGAATACCCTGTTAATTTTTTTAAATGCTAATCCATGTACACTTGAATAAAACTTGCTAAAATTTTGGAAGATAATATTATTTTGTAAATGTAAAAATCGAAATAACACAGGCCCATTTGAAACTTTTGGACTCGTATGACTTCGAAACAGTAGAGCTACACGAATATCAGAGACTTCTGGTTAAAATTAGTTTCGTTTATTTTCGATATTACTTCTAGTATTTTACATGAATTTCCAGACGCGTGTCTTTTGAAAGCGTTAGCCACTCGCTTTGAGAGTCCCTTTGGTCAGTTGAGACTGTTTGTTATTTGTAGAAACCTTTCCATATAAAAAAAAATGTTTCGTATTACCCATTGTTTTCAGCGTTGAGTGAAGCTTTGAATACCAGACTTCCTTTCTTGTCTCTGTAACAACACAATTTCCCTGCATCAGCGTTTGGAGGAATTTTGAATTCTCGATGGAACGATCGCGAGACCTTAATTCCGTCCTCATCCTGGCAGTGGTCAGCTCTGATAATGACGTCATTTCCTCGACGTTGTACGCTGATGTGATCAGGTTTAAAGACGGACAGATCTATGTCTTGTCTGAAACACGAGGTTTCGTTATTCTCATCGGGAATCTCATCTGTATCCTCTACCTTAATTTGATCCCCTTCCTCTTCATTTTTATTTATTAAAGGGGCTTCAACAATCACCTGGTGACCATGGCTATAACAATGGAGTTGACTTCGGTTGACGTCACTAGGGACAACAACACAACGCTTTGATTCTCGAATGTCACAGTTTTCGTCATCGTCTCCTCTTACGTGTTTCGCATGAACTCGTAAGATACCATCCTTAACAAAGACTTTAACCTCACCTGGGTGGAAGTGATGATGGAGTTGGAAGGATTTAGTCCATTTTGATGGCTCCTGTTTAACTTTCTGATGGCTTTCCAGCTCTTCATGTAGCAATGATTTTAATAAATCCCTGATTGGCGTGGGATTGTGAGGGGTCGTCTCAGGTCCAGGGGGATTGTAGCTTATTGGCAAATATTCCATCCTTTCAGACATAACAGCTTGTTATTACAAGTAATGGTTATCTTTGGGTGGTTTTTCTCCAATGTCACGTGATGGGTAACTCAGTGTATTATAGAGATAAAAGTATTTCAAACTGCGTTGTACTTTTATTTAACTTTTTAAAAAAAATATGTGTATGTTAAAGTTCACAAACAAGTAAAACATGGAAAAATTATTAATGATATCTTTTATCGGAACCATTTGTTCAGTCCTAGTAAACAAACTGTGTCGTCTGTGTATTAAACGTTATCAGACGAGCACCTTGCATAACTTAAATAACCCTGTTGTTAACCTTGTAAGAGAATTCAATATGAATCCCCCATTTTATCACTGCTCCAAATCACAGGATTACGTTTAAATGCAAATGCAAGAAAGATGTGCAATATTTGTGTCATGGGCGGATCTATGAATTTCGCGGAGGGGTTCCATTTCCAGTCCATTTTTCCCATAAGCAAGGAGGAATCTCATTGTTTATCACAGAATTATTTTTCTTCGGTTTTTTTCCCTCATTGAGGCACATTTTGCCTAAGGAGGTAAAATAATTACTGAAAATCCAATGGGGGAGGGGTAGGTTGACCTCGTGGTAATATTTCTTTTTCACTTTATATCGAGTTTGAACAAATATTGTTTGTATGAAAAGCGCTATAATTTTAGCTTCTGGTCGTCATCTAAATCCAACAGACTATGGATTTCAGAAATCTCCTTGCCAGGGTTCTGCATCATTTCTCGCCAATGTTTGATTTCGGAGTCTTGAGTTGCCACAAACCCGAGTCCGACCTGTCCGATAATCTCGTCACTCTTAATTCGTTCGTGACTGTAGACGGTCAGAGTTACGTATGTGTAACTGATGTCGTCCATTTTAAAAGACACCGGGAAATTGTAACTTTCGTTGAACACTGGGTCTGTGGTGCTCTTTTTTGTCTTGGTAACCCTTTTCAAGGCCGATTTTCCTGGCTGGATGACTTCTACTTTGACATACGGGTCTAGGCAAAGAAAAAATGAAAAAGAAAACAAATGTCAAATGACCTTTCTTATGAGTTAAATTTTGTGACTTGACTCAATTGCATGTTGTGTAGTATATGTTCTTTGAATATAGTAAAAGTTTCAGTACTTAAAATACAAGCAACGAGTATTTTTTCTTCAATAACTTTTTAAAACCGATAACTAAACCACAGAACCCTCCTTTCACACAAACCTTAATGATGAAAGTGTTAATTCTTTTTTAAGGGGAACCCTAAGAAGTACTGTTACTTTTTTGTTTTTCATAGTAATATAATTTTCCTTCTTGTTTTTTTTTAAATCTTATTTCACGAAGGCACGCCAGAAAATTTTCGTCATATCCCATTTGCAAATTGCAGAAAACCTTTGGTTCTCTCTCTCTCTCCATTATTGCAGGCCAACAAGAGGTCATCCATTCATAGCAAATACATCGTTAACCCCCCCCCCTCCTCACATACACACACTCTCACTAACGAAACTGTGGACCCTCAATACCTTATAAAGTGACAAAAAATTACACATTTTTCTTTGAAATGACTCGTAAGAATGATTTTGGAAAATACATGTAACTTTTTGCCTTTCTTGGCCCCATACTTCAGGTGTAAAATCAACATAGCCATCAATGGATAGTCTACTGGGAGAGGGTGCTGCATACCCACATTCTCCCCACTTACTTGTATGTTTCATGTATTTTCTTTTTAGAAGTACGAAAGCCTCTTGCAGGCGGACAGAGAAAAATTTAAAAAAACATACTTTTTTGCAGATAATAAAACTAGGTTGCGGTATATGTTAATTTCAATATTAGTATGACGTTGTATAGTAACCCTCCCTCCCCCTGCTTCGAGTTCTCCTCACCTGGGGGACCTTTGATTTGATGTTCTGGCAGTCCTATCCCCCTACGCACTCCTATAACGAGACAGCCATCTCTTGGTTCGAACCGCATACTGACTTCAAGGGCACCCAGGTCCTGCAGGAGAGATATACTTCAATATGACATAGATATTCAGTAAACAGCACCAGGGACGAACAATTTTCATTCGTCAGGAAACATGAATAAAAGAGCCAATTATGCATTTTCTAGCGGTACATGTATATTTTAAGAAAAAAAAAAGATAACTACATGTATAGCTATCCAGGCATTTGGAAAAAAATTGCACGTTTGCGGTATTTTAGTTTTAGTTATTTTAGTGGTGTAAAAAGCATGTGATATCATTGCAAGATATCACTTCCAATTTCATTTCTTACTAATTAAGGTAAAATTAAAGGAAATTCGATTTCTTTAAAAATGTCATTTTTTGGTACTTTATTGGGGTGCAAAATTTCTACGTTTTTACTAAACCGTTTTTAAGACTTCAATTTGAATCATATTAAATTTCTGCAAAAAAAAAATTCAATCTTATTTTAAGACATTCAGTTAAATATCAATTTTATGAACTGCAAGTAGGGGCTATGTACGAAAGCCTATTAGGATCAAACTACGGTAAAAAAAAATTTAAAAATTTTCAAAAGGCGTTATAACGCGAAAAAAGGCGTAATAACGCCTTTTGAAAAGGCGTTATAACGCGGAAAAAGGCGTAATAACGCGAAAAAAGGCGTAATAACGCCTTTCCAAAAGGCGTTATTACGCCTTTCCAAAAGGCGTTATTACGCCTTTCTAAAAGGCGTTATTACGCCTTTTTAAAAGGCATTAATACGCCTTTCAAAAAGGCGTTATTTTGCCTTTTTAAGGGCCATTATTATGTCTTTGACAGGCCCGTGCTTTTAAAGTGGGGGGGGGGGGGGATTCCATAAAATTGACAAGCAAACAAAAAAACAAGACCCCCCCCCCCCCCGAAAAAAAATAAACTGCCTTAATTTGAGGGGAAACTTTTTCTAATTTTTCGGTAAAACTTTTTTTAAATGCAATGACTTGCCCGAGTTTAACCATACTGCAACAAAATGTTAAGGGACCAAGGAATCAATCAACGATTTTTTATATTTAAACTATAGCAAGACTATTCTCCCAAAAAGTGGGGTGGGGGATCCCCCACCCCCACCCCACCCCCCTCACATTCGTACTACCGGCCTGTTTGAAAAGGAGTTGTATCCAAGAATGGAAAGGCGTTATTTTAAAATAGTAAATATATGAAAGATTGAACCAAAGCCATCTTTATTTATGCAATATTTAGATTATAGTCTTAATATTTAAAATTATATTATAAATTATAGTATTTTCTATATTCCTGCACATCTCGCAGACAGTTGTTTGCATTTTGCATGCATATTAAGAGAAGTCAACACTCTACTTTTGAAAATCCAGGATATAGGCAGAACCAGCTTTGGGCTTTGCTAGCCACGTATTAAAAATTCATGTCAAATTTGAAATATTTTTCTCTCCTCTTGGTAAAAAACAGGCAAAGTATTTGCATAGGTATAATGAGCAATTAGCCTTCAACAAAATTTCTGAAATCCATACACCTTGGTAGAAGCGTCTGGCATCAGAGAAGGACTAAGTTGGTTTAACACTGAAAATATTTTACACATTTAAAAATCTTTTTTCCTAGAAATCTAATTATAATCAGCCCCCAGGGTGGGCTAAGTAAGTCATGTATTGAAAAAAAAGAGGCGTAATAACGCCATTTTAAAAGGCGTAATAACGCCTTTTGGAAAGGCGTAATAAAATCTTTTGGAAAGGCGTAATAACACCTTTAGGAAAGGCGTAATAACAGCTTTTAGAAAGGCGTAATAACGCCTTTTGGAAAGGCGTAATAACGCCTTTTTAAAAGGCGTAATAACGCCTTTTGGAAAGGCGTAATAACGCCTTTTAGAAAGGCGTAATAACGCCTTTTGGAAAGGCGTAATAACGCCTTTTTTCGCGTTATAACGCCTTTTGAAAAGGCGTAATTACGCCTTTATTTGCGTTATTACGCCTTTTTCCGCGTTATAACGCCTTTTCAAAAGGCGTTATTACGCCTTTTTTCGCGTTATAACGCCTTTTGAAAAGGCGTTATAACGCCTTTTAATTTTTTTTTACCGTAGTTTGATCCTAATAGGCTTTCGTAGCTATGTTAACAGCTTAGATATATAATTTTTGTGTGAAGGGCATAATTCCTATTTCTCGGGGATTTTGTAATTAATTACTTAATAACCCGTGTATGATAGATATGTGACTCCCCGGCCGGAAAATGGTGAAATTTTATCCTTCCTATGGAATACTGATCGGCAAGATTGTCATTTGACATTTTTCATCACTGCAAATTATCTCCACGGCGATCAAGATCAAGTTAATTACTTTTAGATTTGATACTTCAAGAATAAAGTAACAACAACAACAAAAAAATGTTCGTGTGCTTCTATTTGTTATGGTTTGTTTTTAGTTACCTTATTCTTGGAACGGACAAAAAGACGAGCACCAATAACAAGTTTGACATTTTGCAGATGCCTACTATTAGTTATTGAGCAGGTCCTCGGAATTAACACCCCCCCCCCCCCCCCCCAAGGCGAACGTATCACAACATGGTCAAGATTACAGAAAAAAAATATAATTCGTGTTTGGGCCTTTGTAATGGAAATACATTGGGAGTTAATACCTAGCACATGTACAAGCTTGCTTACTTCTTAATCCCTGAAGTATAGCAGAGTATTGATAATTTTGTTAGCTCGCACATCAGTATCGCTAGTTTCTTTTTTTTTATTCTAGATTAAGGACTATTTGGGCCACCTTGCTTCAACAACTGACGGAGCTAAATTCATTTTCTTTCCTCTTTATTATCCCTTGTCACAAAATTCACCCCAGTCAATGCTTTAAACAGCCCCAATAAGACAACACTCTTTTGGAAATCTGCTGCATTGTTGCTGTAGTAATAGTATACTGAATGATTAATTAAGTGTCTTTCTGAACACAATCGTATTTTCAGTTTGGGGAGTTCATTAAACTAAATCCTTACATATAACAATACTAGCTATTGGGAAAATTCACCTGCTCTAAGCGAGCCAAAGCGCCTAAATTGGAACCTGTTTCTGTATCATGCAAGAAGCTTGGTGATTCCAGATTATAATGACACTTTTCAGAGTGGACTGCACGCTAACTATTAATTTTAATTCAATCTTTCTAATAACACCAGGCCCGTAGGAAGCAATTTCAGTTGGGGGAACTATCAACTACCAAAAATTCCTTGACAAGCAAAGAAAAAAAAAAAAGGTCATCAGACGTTTTTATTGAGGGGGCACAAGCTAGAAGTAGCTAAATTTTCTATAGTCATCTATATATCGGCAAAATTATTGGGGGGGGGGGGCACGCCCCCCCCCCCCCCGGTTCCTACGGCCATGAACACAATATTTAGCAATGTACATGTAGCTGCAACAAGGGAATGTCGACTTTTTCTCCTTCTAGTTTATTACGTAAAAATAAATCTGTTTCTTATAATAATTGATTTTGCTTAGTCGCTGTATGACAAGTGCTCCTTATAAATACCGGTAAAAATCAATGAAATCAAAGCTTCAAATTGATGCTGAACACGAAAATGACATTTCGTAAGGATAAAGACCAACCATGGCTACAGGTAATGAGATTGTCCCACATAACCAATTTTTTGTTGCATGCAGTGCGAATGTCCCAGGTAAACTCAAAAAGATTGAAATTAATTTACATGATGAAATATTTTTGATTGATTAGCCAACTGAAATGAAATATTTCCCTCTTTAAACATTCCTAGAATTTGGTCTCCGATTCTTGCCAAATTTTGGCCTCTGGTGTCATTATTTTAAAGTCATATATGGCGTATTTTTGATAAGTTCAGACTAACTAAAATTAAAAAGATCTTTCTATTTGTTTTATTACTTTATACAAAGATAGGACTTTCCTGTAAATTACACAATTTGAATCAATCGCTTTTCATAGATATTAGAAATTTAAAACAATAACCGATTTATTTACCGACTCCGCATTTAAATATCAGACACAGTTTAAAGACAATTTAATTAACATAAATAACAAATATCATGTTCATTTACACTCAATCTCGTATTTTTATTTTTTAGCTTAGATACGCCATATATAGCTTTAACCACCTTGAATACTGTCATTTAAGTTAATATCCTGATTGAATAGCAATTGTTTCAATTTCAATTATCCAATTTATCCAAAATATAAAATCAATTGATGAAACTGCCCAAAATCATCAAAATGAAAAGCGCCCATGAAGTTTGTAAACAGAGGACACTCAACTGCGCATTTTAAAATTTCTAAATATTTCAACAATTCTCAAAGAAGTTTAAACTTGAGGGTTTAATTTATCTATTAGAACCATATATGAATATGGTTTAACGACGAAAAATCCAAAATAAGGAAAAAAAAGAAGAATGTAATAAAAACAAAATTCACTCATTCATCTTTCAATGAAAAGATGGGCCCATTCATTTGCTCGATCACTTACATTAGAAATGTTGAAACCAAACCACTGATCATGAAGAAGATAAAAAGCTACGACCAGAAAAGGGCTTAATGTAACCAAATTTTTTCTTCGAAGTTTAAAATGAAAAGTTTTACTGAATGATATTTAAGGTCTTTCTAATGTCTTCAGAGTAGAGAAAATGTTTCATCATCAACACTGACAGATTGCTAATTATAAGTTCTAGTCTCAGAGTTCCAGCGACCTGAATGCCCTTTCACCATCCGAAGGCCACAGCCTTTGGGGGGAAAATCAATTTCCCGTAATATTTGAATTATTTGACATTTAAATTGGAAGACATTGTCTTCTATTTAAAAAAAATGTAATTGGAACAGAATTCAGCTTGCCCTTTTACACGTAGCGATTTTCAGCTTAAAATTTCCTTATAACCTTTCCTTCATCATTAATTTTTTTTTTCATTACCAGTTTATGTTGACTTGATTTGTGTTTTGAGACAACAGTGAAAGCTCTTATAACAAATTTGCTTTCCTTTTAAACATAATCTTAGACACTGCATCGTAGGCAACGACATGGGAATTGATGGAATTTTTTTCTTAATGGAAATGGAGAGTTATTTAAATGTAGACCGAATTGTTAATGACGAGTTTACCAGCCAAATTACATCAATACTCTATATAAGTTTATGCTGCATGTTAGGAAGTGACTTTCGGTTTACTTCGGGTGACAATCCTGATATAACATCCTTAATGCACCGAGTGATTTGTGCACATCTATACACATTAAGATATACTAAATAACGACCTTGCGTATCATGCTTATCTCGATTTTCCTGGGTTTTTAAGAGAGGTCTATAGTGAAAAAGGTTTAGTGACACACAGACGGACGGTCGGCAACTTAGCTAAATTCAACGTCTTCTCCCATTGTAGGCGACATCGGTAAAACGTATCTTGTCTCTGTTTATTTCAGCTCATGATCCATGTCGAAATCTCTTAGCAATGAGATGTTGAAATTGTGTCCAGGACTTAAAAAGTAGAACCTTTAGCTAAAATACTAGTAAATTCAAATGCTAGTATGCTACACCCATTCAACCAAGAAGAGTTGAAATTGTGTCTTGGCTATAAATTTAAAACCATTAGCTTATTGAAGTTCAGACATACTTAACTTTGCAAGGAATTTAAAATTGAGTGTATGACGCTGCCTTTGAACTGAGAGTCACTCAAGGTCATATTCCAAAGTTGAGGTCACTGGACACTGAAACATTGAAATCTTGCACAAGGTATTGCTTTGGAACTTTCGGTTGGAATACGTTAAATATTCACCAATTTAAATATTCATTTATAGATTTATAGATAGACAGTCGGGTACTTTACCAATAACAAAACTTAATGCCAATATTACTTCTCACCTGTTAAGCTAAAAATCTATGAAACGTGTCCTTTTCATTGCCGTCATGGACAAATATGACTGCTCACACTTGTTTGTGAAGTAGTATTGTATTTGCTTTAATATGATATGTCTATGTACAACTTCTTTTATACAAAAATATAAGCCTTTGCTATATACATGTGCATCTGGTGGATGTTATTGATGGGGTAATCGAGTAATAATAAAAGGCTACCACCGATTGATGTTTTACTGTATATTAGTGGTTAATCACTGTCATTGCCCTGGATTTCTTCCGTTTGCAAAGACCATAATCTAATACATTGATTCCCTAAGGTTACAATAGAGTCATTACCTAGATCTAAGGTCACGTCTGCAATTTCTGACAAGACAGGTTCTAGCCATAATGAAACTCTTAACATTTTTTCTAGGATCTTGTAAGCTCTATAACCTTGATATTTGGAAAAGGTCAAAGGAGACATGTACAAGATTTCGATATTTCACTGCAACTGTGGGAGACATTTATTTCTCATATCAGAATTGCGGTGATATATCGGGTAAATCAGGTTCTTCTATGTGATCTTGACCTTAGCCATTAAGAAAGAAGGAGTGAAGAGTGAAAACATTTATCAGTAGGTATGGAATGAAAAGTCCTTCGAACACAGTTTTAGATTTCAATTTTCTTTTCGTCTACGTTAATGTCTAAAAAATCAGATTACCTCGCTTTCACAAACAGTATCCAGATCCTTCCACATCCGGTTTTCTGTTATGAGGTCGTAGTTTTCTAACTCCAGGTCGGTTCTTCCGACCAACTCTGGCGGTCGTAAGTTATGGGATTTATGAAAGATTTTAATTCTCAGTGTCATAGCATGCAGCTGTTTCAATGACAATCCTTGAAAAAAGAAACTTCGGTCAAAAATTGGTTTGCGTGTATGTTTAAACAATTCAGAAACCTGTTTTTGAAGTTTTCCAGGCATAAGATAAACTTTTGCGTAAGGGTTCAAATTTGAGTCCGTTTTATCGGAACCACCAAGACATTCCGCTTTGATCAATGTTAACTTAAGTTGTTTAGTTGTGGCTAGGTACTGGAAGGCAAACTTTAGTTCTCCATGTTTGGTTGCATGTTTTGAAGGGGAACTATTTATTACAGCGCATGACTTTGACCTATGTGGCTCACATGCTTCGATGAGTCCTGACTCCCGTAGTTGCGGAGAGGAGTGTCGTTTTAATGCAATCACATCCTTTTCGTTTCTTTTACTTGACTTTTTTGGTTGACTGTCTTCGACAAGAGAATCTTGAGAAGAGGTATTTGATTCGTCTGTATCGAGACCTAATAAGGAGGATCGGCGCCTATAGTATACATTACCTTTCTTCAAGTTTCTGTTGGCCACATTTCCATTTTTTATAAACAAGCGCGAGGCCGCGAGGAGGTGGTTTGGCTGGCGTTCTGGGGATAACATCTCTGAAGAACCCATCTGCGAGGCAGAGGGGGTAACAATGACGGAAGGAGTGTGCTTCCTCGTGGAAATATCTGGGTCGGAAAACCTGATGACGTCATCCATCATGTCTGGGCGGCCTCTGATCGACAGAGCCTCAAGTGACCTAAGACGCTGAGAATCCTGTGATGACAGTCCGTTTCCTTGGATGTGAAACAAGGACTCTTTTCTTCTAGTGTGTGGAGTTTGTGATAAAGTGCTAAATCCAAATGTTGTTTTTGAACGGAAGTGATGAAGTGACATGGCCGCCACTGACAATGGATCGGAATTGGTATCCCCAATGCAGTTCATAGACTTGGAGGTTTTGTGTCTTGCAACCATATCTTTTATTTCATGTCTCGGAGATCCAGGAGCTGAAGAGGCATATCGGGTCTCCAAAACGACCGCCGAGGCGCTGGGAGAAATTCCGGGACTTGTTTTATTGGAACAAATACTGCTTCTGCGTGAGACAGAAAAAAGGTGCTCGCTATCTAAGTTATCAATGTCATAACTTCCTCTTCTAGAGCCTCCATTGGCTTTTGGAATCACAAACTCTGGAATTGTTTCTGGTGTGATGGCACCACCGATGTTGCTGCTGCAATCTCTAGAGTTTTTATTGGACGTTGTTGAGTTTGCTTTGCATTTGGTCAACAACCAGTCTTTGATATCTATTACGGATTCCATCGTTAGATTACATGATAAGGTGTCTTTATTAAGATGATCTACAAAAGACAGAAGTAAATGTTCAAGTTTTTATTTTATATAACGGTGAATCTTATTAGCAGTAAATCACTGTAAAAAATAACCCATACCCTTGGCAGATGACAGCGTAGCTATTACAGTCGATCAATACATGTATTTATCAAAAAAGAAAAGAACTACGAATTAATGGAGGAAAAGGATTTGAAAAGTGTAGATCATGACTTTTGTATGAAATTATACCCACGCAAAGTGAGAAAGTAATAGCTTAAGTAGGAGTGTTGGGTTGTTATACGGAGTGTAGATATCATGAAACACAGAGATAAAGTTAAAAAATGTACAGAGATATACCAAAAACAAGTAGAAAACTGACACAGTCAGAAGGGCCCTGCTTAGGGCTTTCGTAGGAAAGTGACAACTGTGCTTAATACATTAATGTTTATTACAAATATATCACATAAGGATGGTGACAGAGAAACATCACCAAGATACATGTATATCTCAGAACTGTTTTCTGGGCTATTGTGTCACAACAGAAGTGTTGACAGACAAACAGACGGACCACAATAAATAGGTGTCTTTCTCTTATCGATTTAAAACTCCTTCTGTATGAAATTATATAAAAAAATATGTTGAAAACTATTTACTGTGGAACAGAATTTGTCTCTGGACATGTACAAGGATAGTCTTTCAGTACTTGTGCACAGGGTTAGGTCTATAGATGAGTTATTGCGTCACAACCAGTATGCATTCAGACATGCATACAGATAAACAGACAAAGGAATATGAACCAAAAATGCATAGGTATCTTCCTCTTACCGTAAAGTACTTCTGTACAAAATAAAACGTTACGTTGAAAACTCTTAAGTTATTGCTTCACAAAGAAAGTGTTCATGGATGTACATTCGGACTTGCAGAGAGATAGGAAGACATTTAGCGATGTGACCCCGAATTGTATAGCTGTCTTCCTCGCATAGTAAAGTACCTCTCCACAAAATTTGAAAACGTTATCTTGAAAACTTAGTTAACTAATGATTCACAAAAAAAGTGTTGACGGACATTTGGACAGACGGACAATGTTATTCCTATAGGGCTCCCACATTTCATGTGGGACCCTTATTATGTATTGATTGGTTATACACCTTATTGAAATGCGGGAGCCCTATAGGAATCGCGTCCGTCAACACTTGTTATGACGCGATAACTCAAAAGGTTTTTTTCCGTAATGTTTTCAACATGAATACTTTACAATGACATTTAACAAAGACATCTATAATTTTTGGGTCATAATACTTTGCCTGTCTGCATGTATGTATATCTTTCGTCACACGATAACTCGAAGATTTCTTCATGACAATTTTAAAATTTTATTCAGAAGGAGTTGACCATTACGAAAAAAAAAACTAGCTATAGTTTTATGGTTCGTCCATCCGCCTGTCCGTCAACATTCTTGTTGTGGCACTATAACTCAATCGGTTTTCATCGTAATTTATACAGAAATACTTTATAATAAGAAAAAGACATAAATTTTTGGTCATGTCGCTTTGAATCGTCCATAGGTATGTCTCAAATATTGGTCATTCTTACAAATAGTTTGGTGGGTTTTTTTTCCATGTCACCTTTCTTATCTGCAGTTTTTTTCTCGTCCTGAACATAATTGTATCGGTTTTCTAGTTTTTTTTTTAAATGTTGATTCCTTTCTTTAAAACAACACATTAATCATAGAACGGCACTCATTTTATCGTTTCTACTGGGAAAAAAATTATTATACGGACATGTATGTTATTGCTTAGTTATACTTTAGAGATATAAAGTGTAATATTGTTTTTAAAAAGTGATATTGATTCAGTCCCCAGTCACAGTGATTAAAAAAGAAAGACGATATATTTAAAAAAAAAAACAACAACAAATATCTAAACACAACTGTTACCTTAAATTGGAAGATCATTAATTTTGTTCTAAACGACATTGCATGTAAATTTTTGCATGCACAACTTTTCAAAATTTAAGAAACGAACGAGAGATTGTTTCTCGGTCTTTCAGTTGGTGACCGCATTTTTTAAGTGTTTGATATCCCAACCATCTCGATTCAGACAGATACTTTTTTGAGGTTAGATACTGTTCCCTTCTTTATGACTCATGTGAGAAGTAAAAGTCACAAATCTTTTTGATCGGTTAGAAAATGCAGTCAAAGCACGTTAGGCGTATTCATGATAAAGAATACTTAGTTACCACGCTAGTCTCGCCCAATATCGGAGGCGACACTTTCGTTTCTATAAATATGGCTCATGTCTTCTATGGGACATATAAATTCGTAAATATCACATAAAAAGAAAAGCAATTAACGCAAAGTTTCTAGAATATCAAACGGAATCCATATGACTTCGCACTCTTGGTCAAATACGATATATTTATGTTAGTGGGTCTCGATAATGCATTGTTTCCAAATTTGAATTGTTTTCAAAGAAAAAAGACACAATTTTGTCACCATCAGAGAATTAATTGCATGCAATAAACAGAGATTTCAACTCGGCATCAAGACGGTCAACAAAGCTTTAGATTTCCATTGTTGTTAATAAAATTTTAATGTCTGTATCAATCTTGTCGTCAGCTAGCATTCAGTGATGAAACTGATATAGTGTCAATTTCATAAAATCAAATTAACATTTGGTGGCATTTTGTATTTATGAGTTGTATTGAAACGTGACATTTTTAGTGTGTATAGAAGTAAGTCGAATGAAGCCTTAAAATGGGTTTACAACTCGAGAACATTTATTCAGTCTTAGCAACTTAACAAATGTAACCATTAATATTTTTTCCCATGAGAAAAAATTAAAAGGAAATTGAAATTCGTTTAAACTAATTTTATGTTTGCCTTCGGAAGTATTTTGATAATTAAAAAATAATACTTTGTTAAAAAGGAAAAGATTACAGAAAGAGATAACAATGTTTTTAAAAAAAAACAATGTTTATAGAATTTATCTACTTTTAAATTAAATTGAACGACATGTATGACAGAACTAAAGCTTTGTCCTAAAAACTGTCGGCCCTGTCCATTAATTTGAATCCCAATTTCGACCCCTAACCTGTATCTGGAATCGTTCTTCAACAAAATTAAACGTTTGTAAGCGCGTTATGAAATCTGTTTGCAAATATCTTTTAAAATAGTTGAAAGTAAATGATAGTCATTTAATCAATATATTAATAATTTTGTTACCTTTTGATCCCTCCCCCTATTTTTTTTTCTGAAACGGTTTATAACTGTGACGCCACGTTTCAATCCTTTGATACAAAGCGTACAAATCTTTATATTGAGGAGTTTTACAATGAAAAAGACTTGGAATTGAAATGTAACTAAACATAGAACTTCCTGTTCGTTAGCAAATCTTTGGCGGGATTGATTTGTCGTTTTATAGCGAGTTTGATAATGGTTTTATGGCAAGACATTGGTTATTCGTGAAATCACCAAAAATAATCATTTTACAAGTTCCTGTCATATATTCTTACAAAATAAGTTCAAATGTATCTGTTTATGTCAAACATTACATTTGACTCTTTGTGCAGCATTATTGATTAAATTGTAGTTTGTCTGAGGAAAAATACGTTGATACATGAATCTTATGTGGCTTGTCTTTGCCCCCCCCCCCCCCCCCATTTCCAGAAAAAAAGGTTGCAATGTTATATTATAATTCTTGCATTTTATTTTGCCACAATTACATTGCCCAACCTGGTTGTAGAATATTTTATCATCAAAACTGGATTTTGCAAATATGGACCAATTCGTCTCTTCAAATGGAGATTTCAAAATTATTTTCGCCAAATCTTTATGACGATAACGAAGTTCATAATATGGGATTATTATTATGTTAAACAATGTTCTCTATACATTACATACATAATACAAACCAGTTCGACAGTAAACAAATTTGATCAGAGAAGTTCATTATAAGACGTACAATCGGTCAAGATGATAAGACAACCCCGGAAGAATACATAATATAGAAATTGCCATGTACTCACCTTCCAAGAAAAGTAAATAAATAAAATAACTGCGTACAAGCCTCAACGTAAATGCAAAAAAATTAATTCAAAGTTCTGCCATTAAATCCACTTTGTAGCTCCCTAATACTGTAAAACATTGGTTTTGGTTTGCACTAATTGACAATTTTCGTATTTTGTAATGAAATAACATCCACTAAATTTGACAGGAATAGAAGATCAAAGTAATTAGACGACAAGATGACGACACAATAGTAGGTCCTCTTCTCCCAACAGCTTCCGAAATAATTTGATTTAAAACATTAAATTCTTTACGATCTTTTTAAGCTTCGAATCATTAGACACCAAAAGCTGAAAAGAATTTCTAGAGTGACTTAAAAAAAATAAATGTTTTGAGTTTCAAAGGCTTTAACACGAGATGTTGCTGCATTATGCATGTCATCTATCACCACACTGATATTTAAACTCTGGGGAGGTTTTTCTTGACATAGAAAATTAAAGTCGTATATCAAGTGTCACACTTCATCTGCAACATACCAGACTAACTTTCGCCATTTAATTTCAAATAACCTCTTCATGAAGGCAAATATATAACAGATGCTTTTCTATGTGATAAATCATAATATTTTTTTTCATAAGTATGTGTAGAAAGCGGAAATCCTTTTTTGCATTAATGGCCTTGGAGATTTAAAGGGGTGGGGTAGGGCGGGGGACTCCCATTTTGTCATCAGATGCAAGTGCAAGTATGGATTTTTATGGAACAGTTAACTTATATCTAAATTATACCCCAGAACAATTTTTTGATCAATTTGGTAAATGTTTCACTTAAGTTGCAGCAAAATAAGGTGACATTATGTTGACAGTCATATACGATGATTTTACTTTCATATGTACGTGTAACCCAGAATGAGAGGCAGGTTTCGTGCCACTGGAACTTATTTTTGCTTCCCCTCTTTGAAAAAAATGGATCCACCCAAAAGTATCCCCATTTTGAATTAACATACATTTGTTTAGTATGCGACT